TCCAATTGAATAAATAATTTGTGATAATTTTTTAATCTTCCAATTCTATGACAGCTACGGCCAATATTATATGACATTCGAACAATTTAATTTTTGAAATAAATACCCACATGTCTTCCCTTTATGTCACAGTGGCTGTGCTAATCACTATATTTGACGTTTAGGCAATACAAATTTTTTTGACAGGCAGTTTATTTTCCACAAATATTTTAAATTATGTTTTCTCAAAAACAGTTAACGTTAGATATAGAGTGTTTGATATCAAAATTCATAAAATTTTATGGAGAATTTTAATATGCAATAAAATATGGGGGTACCCGTTTAAAATAATAAAATTGCGCTGTCAAACTGCTGTATTTTCGGAAGTGCCGCCATATTGAAAATATTTTAAATCGATAGATTTTGTTGTGAAACGTGCAAAAAATCTCCGATCTAGCTATTGTAGTTCTTTAGAAACTTCAAATATACGCTCAGCCTGGGACACACTGTATATCATGTACCGAAATGCTTTTTTGACATTCTACATGAAATCAAAACATTTTGTGTATGATACTCTATTAGAACTAACTAAATTACTGTATGTATAAAAAAAAATATGTTCGATCGAAAAAAAAAACGGCGTCAAAGTCGGCTGGGGAATCGATTATATTTTTGGCGGGATCAATCTCTAGACGACATTATACATACACATCATTGTACTCAGGAGACTGAGTTCTTTCAAAACCTGAAATAAAAAATGCAGCACCGTGTTTAAAAAAATTAAGTTGGCCCCTGTATCTCACAAATTATTAGCTAATTTGAAAATCAAAAAACACTATCAGATTAGTTATTAATTAGCTTGTTAATTTTCTAAACTGTAACGCCAGGAAAAAATTAAATTTATTTTCAAAAAAATTCGTCTTTTTCCCAGAAAACTCAGCAATCATTGAAATTTTTAAAACTTTTTTGATGGCATCTTGGTGAACATTCCATGCCGGAACTTTTCCCCAATTTAATCATGTTCGTATCTATTACGGTTACCAAGCAACCTCGTACCTCGAATTTGTGCAATTTGAGCACCCTGTCTTTTTAGAAAAGATAATGTTCGATCGAGAAAAAAAAAACGGCGTCAAAAACGGCTGCATTTATTAAAAAATTCCATAAGCCATTTGAAAATCATTTTTAGTCGATATAAAACTAAATTACAATCTTCTTAAGACCAACTTGTAGTAAGCGCTATTATAATAAAAAGAAGTATACGGATCTGGTAGTGTCGCCTAGAGCTTGACCTAGTCAAAATTATCATCGATTGGCATTCCTCAGCCGCCCCCGACGGCATTTATTTTTGATAGTACAATAAACTATAAATAATATTAAGATAAATAGTAGAATAAAAATGTGGAACTAATTTTAACACACTTAATATTGTGCATGGGAATTTAAAAATGTATTTCTAAAATGCCTTAAAATTTAGTCATTTTAGAGCATCAGCTAAATGTATTACACAATGAGATTTCACCCTAACTTTAATTCCTTTTAGGATACCGTTTTATAGCAAACAGGTCAAAAACGTACTTGTGTCTAGCCCCAGCAGGCAACTATTAAGCCCAACGAATCACGTTAGAGTTGTTGACAAACATAAATGAATTATCACCCTCCAAATAACCACGCTAACCAAACTGATTGGTCAAGCTTAATAGTTGCCTGCTGGAGCTAGACACTTCTAAAAACGTACAGGTACCAATAAGAATTATAACAAGTCCAAGGTATACAAATACATACCGGAAAGTTCAAGTTGTATTAGTCCTAAAATTAATTAAGAAAAGGGAAAAAATATATACAATAAGTAACTTTAATTTCTTTTGGGATATCTTTTTATAGAAAAAAGGCCAAACACATATAGGTACCAATAAGAATTATAACCGAGTAAAGTTAAAGCTATTCATACACACCGGAAAGCTCTAATTTTATTAGTCCTAAAATTAATTATGAAGAGGGAAATTATAAGGGTAGTTTAGGCAAAAAGATGTTGTTTAATTTTATGATAATGTTAACAGTAGAGGATTAATTTGAATTAGACAATGTTTACTCTATAAGAAATTGTAAAGTTTGGCATTAATACAATACCCCCGTCTAGACATAAATTTGTGTCATTCAATGTGGTAGACAATGATCCAATATTGAAAAAAATTATATTCTCGACATCTGTTTTTTTTTTTATTTTAATGTACAGGGTGGGTCAAATTCGACGCTTTTAAATGGAAACGCCCTTTTCTATAGGAAATAGATAAAAACTAATATCGATGTCTGGAGCTCAATTTTTGTCAAAAACATGATGGTGAAAACGGCATATCGATATCTGTTACCGTTTCGGAGTTACGGGGTGTTTTTCAAAAATATGCATTTTTAACAAATCGCTGTAACTCTTTTGCTATGGAAAATTCTGTATTTTTATGAAAACATTTCCAAATCTCTTTTTTACGTAGAATTTAATGGTTTAAGTATAATTTTTCTAAAATTAATATTTTAAGAATTATCAACAGAAAATTTGATTTTTTATATGGGACACCCTGTATATTTTTAATTTATTGAAAATAATTTAAAATTACCTTTCCAAAAATATAACATACTTAATATTTTGCTCGATTCCTCTTCGAGATATAGAGTATATAAAATTCGCCCTTTTAAATAAGTAGGCTTTGAGCGGCACCGAGGTGTAATACCCAAAAATTCTAGCTGTGAGCATCAATTAAAACGAAAATAATATTTGCTATGAAATTAAAGGGGTACATAACATTTAAAATATATTTAACCAACATCAACACATTTAAACTATATCATAAAACTTAAAATAAATAGCAAACCAAGACATGAGATTTTGCTATAGGTGTTCAACATATCGACCGTCTTCTGTTATGGACAGACGGGGCAGTTTTTGAACATTTCTCGCGAAATTCATTAATCAATTGCCGGACCCTGTATTTATTTAGAGTAGTAGTAGACAGTATAACTTGGGATATTTTTGACAGATCTCTGTAGAAGAAAATCATGATAGATTTGTCATATTGTGACATAACTTGAGGTTGACCAGGACCGGATTATTTTAAATTTTGACCTAATTTAGTATTCTTTGATGTCTCATAACACAAAAAAGAAACCGTATATCTAAACGATTCAAATGTACCGGATGACCAACTAAGAATGGACCCGGCTGTATCTTAGAAACCACTTATCGTATAACTTTGGGAAAAAATGCTGATAAGTAAATCGACCAAGAGAAATCACTGGAAATTATTGCCAAGTTGAAAAAATGTCCGCTAGGGGGCGTTTCTCTGAGAGCCAATCAGAAAACAGAGTTTTTCTCAAAAATATGCAGGTGAACCGGTATTTTAAATATTACTATTGTAATCGTCGAGAAATTTGTAATTTTTTTGGTATAGAGTATTTTGCTCTATCTCAAAATAAAGTGGTGGGGAAAGGTTAAACTTGATTTATTAAAATAAGGATAACTCTGATTTAGGTTAGCCGATTTAAACAAACTAGGGCTCGTTTAAAAGAGCTTTTCTTCCTTAATCATCTCCAGTATAAATTTTGTTTCCATAAATTTTTTCGTGGTAGCTAGAAAGCGCTGTTTAACACCATAACAGATATTGCGCTTTTGTAGAAAAATTTTAAATAGGAGGCTATATTTCTCTTTACACAGTTAAATAGAGCATAAAATTTCCAAAAAATCAGCGCAAACCGCAACTTTCTATCTTCTTTCTAACCGGAGATATTAAGAGAACAAATCATGTTAGGCTGCCGTTTAAGTTATGGTCTAAAAATTATAGTAGTAGGCTAGGAAACAAAAACAGGTAACTTGGTTACGTCAAAATATCAAAACGATTAACTTCAGTTTTCATGCATCAGAATTTAGGGCGTTTTCTTAAAAAATGATCATAAGTTTTAAAACGTGTTTATGTAACATTATCGTCCATCAATATAATTTTACGAATTTCTTTCAGTTAATTATACGTAGGTAGTTCTAAGATTAAAATGTCCAAAAGTCGGATGAAATCAATAATTTTATTAAAATTTTTAGGAATTTTGTGCCGCCATATTGCTTTTAACAGAAAATGGCCGAATTTCGTATGGCCGAAAACTAGGGGTTTATTTTATGTAACGTCATTTAGTTTATTAATCCAAATCCAAGGTCGTCCTTAATTTCACTTGTTTTCGTGTTTTACCTGTTGTTTGTGTTATTTATTATCATAATTAAGCAAAATAAAAACACTAAATCACCACAATACACCAAAACATAAAAACTTATATAGTTCATAATCATCTGCTGATGATGCTAACATGGTTAGCGAAACGCGCGTCCAGTGTAAAAGTAAAAGTGTTTTGGTGTATTGTGGTGATTTAGTGTTTTTATTTTGCTGTGTAACACCAAAGGTTCCAACCCTCAACTGTAGGGGAATGTGATAAGGGTACATCGGTTTTACCTCGCAACTTGTCCCAGCAAAAGATCCACAGAAAACCAATCTCACTGAAAATAAAATAAATATTATACATAACCTAGTTATTCAATGAATCACAACATACTGCCCACGAATAGTAAAATTAAATATCTCCGCATAACTTAAAAAACTTAAAACATCAAAATAAAAGATAGATAAAAAATATCGATTAAATATAAATATTAAACAAAGAAATAACGCAAAGAATGGAAAAGAAAACGAAATGAGAAACAGCGCTGAGTTCAGCTGCAAAGAAAATACGCCACCACCTGAGCTAAAGTTTTACCCAGGAAGCGTTAGTATGAGAAAAGCGACACAACATAGTGGGGAATATCTTAGGTTCGAATGATACCAGAACGCAGTTTGTGCAACTACTCATTTATCCCAGAGCTCTAAGTATCAACTCATATAAGTTATGAAGCTCTTTTATCGCGCGAATAGTGGAGGGAGTGGACTGATTTCACACACAGTATTAATCCACCAACAGAGAAAAATTGGTTAATATTAGTCAAACCATTCAACTCATTCGTGTTCTGTCATTGCTGTTGTCGTACCTTCGCACACGTCCCTGGTGTCGCTGGAACCAAGGGAAATAGATTATGTATACGCACCCAGACACCAATACCGATTGAGCCGAAATCTAACGACGCCACGGTATGACTGTTCGGAGCGTGAGAGAAGGCGGAGGCGAGTCGTGTGTACCATGTGTTGGTATGGGATACCGGCTGGCACTCAGTGGGACCTAGTACCCTCGGTGTTCTTACGTGTGCCGGTGTCACCGGTTGATCAGTAACCATGGCAGCTCACCCCAAGAATGGCCTCCGGGACCACCGTCCGATATAAACATGACACAGCGCGGATTCTATATATGTATCGTCTAGTAGATAAATAAGGTAGGTACGTCGAGGGAGTAGTCCACAGAATACAGATAAGGAGAGCATTTATTAAGGTCGTGATTCGGATGGGTCGATACATGCCCGGTACGGACTAACCAACATCAACGCACGAGATGACCGATATTTTTAGAAATACTGTCTTCCAACTAGACTTTCTATAAGATTTATAGCCGTTTGATAGTAAAATATTTATTTTAAAAAAATAAATAATTATAAAAATATGAGTGAACCACGTAGTCGTTATCGGTATTCGATCACGATAAAACAGACACCGTGGTGCGTACAAACACTAGAGATGTAACTCGCGGAGGTCCTGGACCTCACATAGGTCAAAAACACTGAATGGTTAATCGTTTAGTGCCTTGCACTCCGTTATCGATAGTCTGTTTTTATCCGGTCGGTTCGTAATCTATTATAGAGTAAGGACTAGTTTACGGTTTTGTTTTCGAAATATAATAAGACAGATTTCATTAACAAACCAACTGGCATGTCCATCTCTTTTTTATACGGAAAATTACTTGTATTTTTATTTGAAAAAATGTTTTCAAAGCCCGTTTTTTTTACCTATATACGTTACAATGGTATATATCTCAAGTAATATAATTTACTAAACTTAGATTAATCCTCAAGATTTGTTTATCAAAAATAATGATATGTATTTACTATTTCCAATCTAAATACCTTCAGAACAATTGCTCGTAACGATTTTTAAAAAGAAAATTAAAAAAAAGTTAAAATATAATAAATTTTTTTTTTTTTTTTTTGAAAAAAAATTAGAAAGATAAATAATCAAATAAATTGGATCTATGTAACTTTTTATCGCTAGGAAATTTGCTAATTTAATATGAAAAACCCATTCGCAAAAGTTATACTTATTTTTTTATCTATTTTTTTTTTTTTTTTTTTTTTTTTTTTTAAATCAATTAAATTATTTAAAAAAAAAAAAAAAAAAAAAAAAATAATCTTTTTTTTTATTATACCAGGTGACTGTCCATAGAATATTTCATAAATAATGTTGAATAATAAGAGAGCCACAAAATTTTACACCTTTACCAGACAGATTTTGTTAAGAAATGCGTAAGGTGCATTGAAGAAGGCATACTGCTCGCCGTATGCCGTAACTCCGAAACGGAAAAAGATATCGAATATCTGGGCGGGGTGCTGTTTTTGCGTTATACTATCAATTTGGGACTTTTTTGCATCCAAAAAATCTGACCCAACACGTACAGAGAGAATTATATTCATGGCTACCTATTCATGTCATGAAAAGGTGGTTATCGCACTTAAAAACGTGGTCAATTTGGCCCGATCCTGAACACTATAAGGGCAGATTGAGATAAGTCTCGTGTGTGTTAATCTGAAAATTTGGAGATGCGCTAGGTAACATGAGAGAAAATTAACGGACAATATAAATAACCACTACCTACCACAGTAATCGATTGACCAGACAGCAATGTCCGTGCTGGTATTGGTTGTCATATTCTCTAAGCTAATTCTAAGCTGTCTAATTCCCATACTCTGAAGATGCCAGACTCCGACTCTCCATTTCAACGGAGATCCTCTATGATAACAAGTAACACTCTGAGATAATCTACACTATGATTAACTAAAATATAGAGTAAATTTAATAATACATCTTAATTGTTTGGTCTAATTAACTCTCGTTTATTAGAGATACTCTTGAGACTGAGCTAGGTTAAAATCAATTAAGTACCCAATGAACATAATGAACTTACATCTCCGCATTGTACCTACTACTGGGCTTAGATTCATTGCCCGTTGCTGGATTGGTGTCTCCTCTAGCATCACTATCTTCATAATCAAAGTATGCAATTCTCTCATCCTTCCCCGCTCCGGCCAGACCGATACGGATTAGAAGCTTGCCTTCTAATGATCTCTTACAACATATGGGTAATTTTTTTATATAAATCTTAATTTTTGGTATTAATCAACATAAGAACTTAGAAATAATGCCCACGAGGGGAAAAATTTTATAAAGGCTGTAAAATAATGTTTTTGAAGTTTAAATTTGATATTTTAATAAAAAAAAAAAAAAAAAATTCTAATAATTAATATCCAGGTAAGCATTTTAAAGACATTAACCACATAAAAAATACATTTTTACTCTGAATATTACGTGATAAGTAATAATTAATATTATATAAATAATAATTGGTTATCAGCAAGTTTCACATAATTTGAATTATTTTGAATGTTTTGAAGTGCTGGGTTAAAAAATAAAGAGTCTGTATACTACAACACCGGAGGCGGTGACCGTCGGTAATAGCAGTACGCTCGAATGGTAGGTGCTGGAATTGACCCATTATCTGTAAAATAAAATAAATGAAATAATATAAATATTTTTTTTTTTTTTTTTATTAAATTTCTCAAAATTTTGTTCAAAACAAAAGAGTTGTTGAATGTAAGGATACTTAACTAGGTAGACCTGGAGGTGAACGCACAGGACTGGGGTGGGTTATTTAGATTTGTCATAGGCCTGGGAAGCAAACATTCAGGGCATTCGGTGCCAAGTTCTGCTCTAAAAAGAAGAAAATTGTATTATTGATAAAAAATACATAAAAAAAAAAAAAAAAATTTTTTTTTCTAATTTTGTCAAAAACTAAAGAGTGATGAAATATGAGGGACTTACATGGGTACTTAAAAACAATAGTAAAGTGTGCATTACGATCAGTGCTGGGAGGCGATATAAATTGTTTCAATTGGTGCATGCTATTATCATAAAATAGTTAATCGGGACATTTATTTTCTTTAAGTTTAAAGTGGTAAATAAAAGGAATTATGTAAACTTTAAATAACCGATTAGATGATATACACTTTGATAGTATATTGAAATAACCTTGAATTCTTATAAAAAATATATATTAAACCTAAGCTATTCCTAACATAATGTTAATTTAAGTTCTCAAACAATATAGGTATTGTGTAAATAATTGACCATATAAGGAATATCATATAATAAAAGGGTAGAGGACTCAACAAAGAGTGTTGGATTAAACAGACAAGTAAGAAGTTCTCTATTCCGCGGTGTTCGCGGATAGGATAGTATTCAAGAATAGGTAATCTATAGCAAATTTATTCACCGTTTAGTTGTCTCAGCTTGGTCTAGCTGAATAAAATAAGTATATTGTAATATTAAGTTAAATATAAAATAATTTTTTTTTTTTTTAATACCAAATAAAACCTTTATCAGTAAGTAATTTAAAAATTCTGGGTTAAATTACCCTTTTTGTAGTCGAGAAGATTTTTGTCATTTATGGGTGCACAACACTAATAGAATGGTGAAAGAAGTTGAGAAGCTAGGAAACAGGCGACGGAAAACAGGGAGCCCAGGTGCTGGTAAATACGACTAGGAGACACTTGAGATAGGCAACCTGAATTGAGACTGGGGGGATGGTTGCAACCGGGGAGACACCGAAATTGATTAGCGTCATCCAGGCAGCTCTGAAAGGCCACTTGCCGTATAGGGTATAAGAAAAAATAAGTAAATATATAATACTACAAATTCAATTAGGTGGAATTTTTCCGTCCGTAGATATTTATTTCATGTTACTTAATAGTATATAACAATAACATCGCAATGAAAAGTTTATTTACAGCACAATGTTATGAACATATAACAACGAGTAATCCCTGAAGTTAGTAAGATACGAAAACGAACGAGGTCGTAACCGATCGTTCTAGATCAACACGAGTGTTGTAATCATGTTAAACGCACGTGTCATGTCAACTTCTGTAAATCAAGCCAACCGAAAAATAAGAAGGAATGCTGTTTGTAATTCGTTTATTATCCCCCGGGACGCGTACGAAAACACCTTTAACTATGACAATTGTCACATTTATACTGAAAAGTCAGTTTGCCCCACTGTCAAAAGTACGCGAGCAACTTTTTCAATTATTATGCAACATCGGGTTATGAATTTCCATACACCACAAGATCTTTGTTTACGAATCTCCATACAACGAATTGAAATACTAGGAAAAATAGGATTTAAAAAAAAAATGTTACTTTTTGATGTTATAATTTATACACAATTATAAACTGGATATTTTTTGGAAAATAAATAAAGTTGTACAATTCAATAGATCAAAAGTATAACTTTACCAGTTGGAGGAAAGATTTGCTGAGTCGTAATGTTCTGGGGGCCCAAGGTTGGTATTACCGAAGCGGGCCATAGTAAAAGCCCCCCTAGTTTAGAAAGGAGTCTGCGGGACTGGGTACTTCGGTACCGACTGGTAAAAAAATATTGTTTTAATGAAAGTTCTAAATTAAAAAAATATCTATTATGAAGTTCTTGCTTCGAAAAAGTACCCATATCAAATATATACATTTTTTTCAAAATATTTTTTTTTTTTTTTTTTAATTTTTAAAATATTTTTTTTTTTATTTTATTCAATTTCTAAGTTTTGATTAATATTTAAAAAAAATTAATGTACAAAACAATAAATTAATTAATTAAATACATTTTTGTGTATTTTTTTTTTTTTTTTTTTTTTAAATTAATTAGAAAATTGTAATTAATTGAAATACTTTTTAATTAAAAAAAATAACTGAATATAAAAATAAAAAAAAAATAAAAACTATTTTTATAATTGTTTTTTTTTTTTTTTTGTATAAAATTTTAAAAAGTAAAATTTTTTTTTTTTTTATAAGTATCACTGACTTAATGTTTAAAGTTAATTAATCAACAATTAAGGTACAAAATTTTGTAGTATTTAAATTGGTACTTACTTGAGGAGGATGTTGCATTATGGGGGGCATGGTTCGATAGGAACTGCACACACCAGGCTGTTGATAGGATTGATAGGAACCATTATACGGATGGTACCGACACGATGATGGTCTCCTAACCTGCAAATACATATCACGGATTATTATTTATGAAAATAGGTACCTTCAAAAGTAGCAAAAACAATGCTTTAGTAAGTAGGTTATAGTATTATTATTTGGTTTGGAACTTTTGTGTGTTACAACGTAAAGACTTTAGTTTTGCACTGGACGCGCGTTTCCCTAAACCACGCTTGGCCATCATCAGCAAAATGAATTAAAAACTGGATTTCAGGTGATGAGGATTTTTGAAGTAATCTACTGATCGAGTGCCAAACGTGGTTAGCAAAACGCGTGTCGAGTGGAAAAGTAAAGCGTTCTGGTGTATTGTTTTAAATTAGTGTTTTTATTTTGTAGATTTTTAGCAGTATAGTTACTATAGAAAAATTGGTGCACCTAGTGGCATTTTACAAGAAATTTATGTAATAATATAATAATGAATAACTTATTGAGCATTGATCTAAAAATTATTTGATGATAATTTGAATTAGAAACATGAGGTTAAGTTAAAAAAAATCATACAACATTTTTGAGAGATTTTTTTGTATTATACAGGGTGAGTCTTGGGTGAGTCTTAAATATGTTCAAATATTTTTAGGGCTGGCAGATGTGGATAAAAGAAACATATATTTTTTGGCGTTTTTCAAATATGTAAGTTCAAAATAACCCAGTTATTCAAATTTGAAAATTTAGACACTGAAAGAGCCACTGATTTGTTTCTGTATTTGCATATTCTTTAGTGCCGTAACAATATTAGAGATTAAGAAATTATACCGTTAAAAATTTGCGGCAATTCTAAAATGTTTTCTAAAATATATAAGACAATTTAAAAGAAAATGTATGATTTTCAACTTTTTTTGTGAAAAAAACCTTCATAGACGTATTCCTGGATCGAAATACAGGGTGTCCCAGGCTAGCGTGCATTAAGAAGTTTCTAGAGAACTAACTACAACATCTAGATCCGAGAGATTTTTTGTACGTCATAGTTTCACAACGAGATCTATCGATTAAAAAAATTTTCAATAGCGACACTTTTCGGAAATTCCGCGGAAGTTGACAGGAACTTTCTTATTTTAAATGGTGCGCCCTTTTTTATTACATACTTAAATTCCTCTGTAAAAATTTAGAAGTTTTGATATTAAACACTCTATACCGTTTTTGAGAAAAAAAAAAAATTTGAAGAAAAAATATTGTAAAAATTTTGGACGAAAAAAATACCTTTCAAAAAAATTTATGTGTAAGAGCCCTTAGAATATAGTGATTACCGCAGCCAATGTGACATAAAGAGAAGAACAGTGGCTACTATTTCAAAAAATTAAATTCTTCCGAAGTCATAATATAAAATATATTGTGACCGCAGCTTTCATGGAATTGAGCGATTGAAAAAATCCGTCATATTTTTTTTCAATGAAACCCATTTTTTTTTTTCACTAATGAAACTGAAGAAATTAAAAAGTGTATTTCCATTTGAAAAAAATGATTCATGATAATTTTTAAATCGGTCAATTCCATGACAGCTGCCGCCATTAATATATGATATTTGAGCAATTTAATTTTTGAAATAGCTAGCTACATGTCTTCTCTTTGTGTCACAGTACAGTGGCTGTGGTAATCACTAAATTTGACGTTTAGGCTATACACATATTTTTGACAGGCAGATTTTTTCGCCCAAAAATTTTTAAATATTTTTTTTCTCTCAAAAACCGTTATTGTTAGTGTATTTAACATCAAAATTCATAACATTTTACAGAGAATTTAAGTTTGTAATAAAAAATGGCGGCGCCCATTTAAAATAAGAAAGTTGCTGTCAGCTTCCGGTATTGCCGGAAGTGCCGCCATATTGAAAATATTTTTCATCGATTGATCTCATTGTAAAACAACGATGTGCAAAAAATCTCCGATCTAGATATTGTGGTTCTGTAGAATTTTCTAATGGTCGCTCAGCTTGGGACACCCTCTATACCACTTCTAAAAATATTTGCCCTTATTTCAGACTCAACCTGTATATATGAAACTCTGAATACCGAAATCGAAATTTGGTACATATTGTCGTGGATATCACTAAGTAGCCTAACTCATTCTGTGATATTTTTCAGGAGAGCCGAGCGGTTTAAAGTTTTTTTACCACATTTGTTTCAATACTAACCAAAATATACTGAAGCCACGGTGTTTCTTTTTTGTTAAAGAAATACAGCGGCTACAATATATTTTAGTTGGCATTAAGACACAAATAGTAAGAAACTTTAAATCGCTCGCTCTCCCGAAAAATATCCAAAAATAAGTTACGCCACTTCTTGATATTGACAGGGATTTTCGGAAATTCAACCCCTAAGGGGGCGAAATCAGGGGTAGATTTTATATAAGAAAAAAAAATAAAAAATAGAAGTATAAAACTAAGTGCCTTCAAGGAAATGATCGAACGCTAAGAAACGATTTTCGAAAGTTCTAAGGGGGTGAAAATTTGTATATATGTATTTTTTTTAATCAATCCTAGGAGTATGAACATTTGCATACAGACTAAAGTGAGCACTGAGAAACTGTTTTTAAAAAATCATCCCCTAAAAGGGTAAAATTAGGAACGAAAGTTTGAACAAAAATAGTTAAAATGTAGCTTCTAAAAGTATGAAACTTTGCACAGGGTTTTTTTAAGCGGTGTAATTGAACACTTTTTGAATTTACTATAAAAGCTTTATAAAATCGATCTTAGCAGTCTGGAATTTTACATGGATGTCCCAGTATGATGAGAGTGAGTTTTCAAAAGTGATTTTTGGAAATTCATCCCTATGAGTGTGAAATTAGGGGCGAAAATTTGTTAAAATGGTTCTATAACAACAGATACTTGCTTAGACCACGTTGTCTCAGATTAAAATGAACTGTTAGGTCGTTTTTTAAGTTTAGAGTAAGATGACATGAAATTTGAAATGCTTGTTTCTTTGTAAGTTTTAATCATAAAAGGAATGTAAGAAACTTCGAATTTTACGCGGACGAAGTCCCGAGAAAACGCTAGCCTTTTATAAGTGCAAATATTTTTAGGGCTAGTATATTTCGAACCGGGAAACACGATTATGAGGTTTTTAGTTAAAGAAATAATCTCTTGATAATATGGAAAAAATAGAAGTAGGTTAAATTTGCAAGAAAAAAAAACAGAAAAGATCCAGTGGTTCTCAAAATTTAAGCGAAAAATATATATTTTTTAAATTTTCACAGTAAGCTATCGGTTATTTTGGACTTATTTGAAAAATGGTAAAGAGGATATAATATCATGTTTCTTTTATCGAGATCTACCAGCTCTAAAAACATTTCCACTTATTTAAAACTTACCCTGTATAATATTTCAAACAACTGTTAAATTAAGTTTAGAATATTAACTTAAATATTAAAAGTATATATTAATAGTATTCTACTATAATATATTAATATTAATATATTATAGTAGTACAATAATTAATCCAATAACATAAAAAATATCAAAAAATAAAAAAAAATCTGCTGCCATGTATACTTTAACATTATAAAGAACAAATATCATGAAATATTTTATATAATATCTTGTACAAGAAAATAAACCAAATTAGATAAAGCAATTTTTTGATTATTACTTAAATTTGGAATTTAAGATCAAACTTATAATAAAAATAAATTTATTTAAAATATACTTGGCACATAAGAAAATATAGAAAAATAAAGTACACTTACAGTTGCAAGTTATTAAAATTGTTATAACTAACGTTGAATCCCTGCATGTTCATCGTTCAAAGTTTGGAGAATTCGAGAGGAAACACACTAAACTTGAAATTACACGGAAAACTGACCAAAAATTGCAAAACATTGATATTTATAGGAAACCCTCCCGCCCTACCTATTTATTATTAACAATGGGGATAGGGCTGGACCAATCAGGTACGCGTCTGGGGGTGGTTCCGCCCTTGCCCTGGTACTCGGTACCCAGTTGCGTCAATTAACTCTAGTGGGGAAAATTTTATTTTTCTAATGCCAAGCATATAGGAACATGACAAAAATTGAATTTTTTGATTTTGGTTTCATATAAAATGTTAGTTTATTAATTATAGTATTTTTTTAAGAGGAAGATTGAAATATATCTTGTTAATTTCAGTATTATCTTTATTTAATGATAGCTTATCAGAATCTTAAAAGTTCAGTCTATGCTTCTCTAAAAAGGGCATAGCACAGTGGTTTCAGATAGGTCATTACTTAGAAATATTAATTTCAAAATGTTTGCATGAAACTGTTGCTAATACTTTTCTTATATTCCCCTGTAAACGATACATAATAAATAACCAAATAAAGTAAGCCTAGTGTAGCGCTTTTTTTATTAGAAATGTCACATTTTTGCTACTGGTATCAAGCTGACAAACAGTTTTCAGATACCGCCAATTAATTACTTATTTTATTAAAATTGATAAAAGCTGTTGCCTTTTCTGTAATGGACGTTCGAAAAGAAGGTAAAAAGAACTGTTTTTCCTTTTTTGCACTTAATTAAACCTACGTAATATTAGTTTATGGCAATTTATTTGAAGGCAACAAAAATTGTATTTTTACATTTTTGCTTGTCACTCTTCAAGACTTTTAACTACTTTCCCTTTCAAATCCTCTTAAACGGCATGATAATACTTGTTGCTTAAAGTATATTGCATATAAATTAATTGCCATTGGCTGCCGCGAATTGCCGCCGGATCTTATACCGGGTGGTTAAAGATTGACTTTTTGTCTTAAAATAAAAGTAACTTATTTTTTCCTCTTCGTGTCAATTTATTTCGTGGACACACTGTATATCAATTGACAATAAAATTGTATTTATAAAATGAAACAATTGTCTCTTTTATTTTTTCAACATTTAAAATAAATTTGACCTCTTCAATATGAAAAAACATGTACATATGTGCAAACATAATCTGTATCTGTATTCCTTTCCGAATAGTTAGAACTTAAAATGCAAATCACACGAACTGGGCCCAATTTTTTTAATACATATTACATTAATTTTTTTATACATATTTATTTAG